TTGGAAGTTCGACTAGACACGGATCGCACCTTACCCTACCGGTTCTGGTGGACGACGAATTCGACATCAATTTTGAAATTTTTAACTTTCAAAGGTTAAAAAACTAACCTTACTAAATTATAAATTGGCATGTATTCATAGGTGTCGATATCGTCCAGTTCATGGAGGCAGCAAAATAATTAAATGCATGCAGGGAACGGCATTGGCATTTCCTCAGGGAATTGCATTCCTGGGTAACAGTCAACATTTTCTCCGCAAAAGACAAATCAATCTGGCGAGAATTAAAAGGAAGGCTTCGGAGAATAACTACCACAGCATAATTACGAGATACTTTTCCTGCTCGGAAGCACGTGTGGATTTTGTTTTGAACCCCACCCCACAAAAATGTTACCCGGACTTGTTTCCAGAATTATTCGAAAGTTCAGTTGAACGTAACCTGGAGAAAATGTTTGATGTTGATTCCTAGGCCTCAGTCCGTAACGAAAACGAATTTGTCAGCGATTATGACAAAATAAATAAATAAATAAATAAAAATTAAAAAATGTATACATTTCAAAAACAGCACATACTACATAGATCTTCCTTGGCACGAGGATAGAATCAAGACCGTTCCTTCTAACTATCAAGTGGTACTTAAGTCGCTTGATAAGACCGTGAATTATTTAGAAACAAAAAAATAAATAAGGCTTATAATGATGCCTTCTACCAACAGGAAGAAAAGGGAATTCTTGAGAGAATCGAGGTTCCTCCTGATAATTTCTCGAAATATATATGGGCTCCTGACAGACCGATCATCAACATGGATGAACAATCCACTACAAACATAGGACCGGTATTTAACTGCTTCCTAAAAACACGAGGAAGCTGCTCCCTGAATGAAGCTGCATATCCGGGAGTCAACCTGATGAACGACTTGTTGGGGCTTTTACTATTTAAAACGAACAAATATGTGTTACTAACGGACACCAGGAAAGCCGTCTTGATTATCAAACTTAACTCTGACAATGATGAAGATAGACTGTTTTTCTTTTTCTGAAAGAAGGTGATAAACTACTTTGCCTTAGGTACACTACCTTAATTTATGGTCTTAACGCCAGTCTCATCATATTTCTGTATGTACCGAGACATTATGCCGAGAAGTTCCGAAACGTCCCAAAATGCAGAAAAATAATTTCTACATGGACAATGTATGTAAAACCAGCAATTCACTAGAACTACATCATTTATATATAGAAGCAGTGAACCACTTACAGAAAGGTGGCTTCGATTTGAGATAGAACAATTCGAATTGCGAACTACTCAAATCACAAATGGAGAGAGCAGAAGTGTTCAGAGCATCCTCGGTTATAAATATAACCCAGAAAAAGGCACTTTACAAATCTCTAACATGGAGGTCGACCACAGTGTAAATACTAAGAGACGTGTTGTCCCAAACAGCGAGTGTTTGTCTCTGTGCATTCCTGTTACGGTCAGAGCAAAGGTGCTACTGTGAGAGCTATGGTCTCGAAAGCTGAGCTGGGATGATGTGATTCCTGCAACTTTACAAGAAAGCTGGTCCCTTTTGGCAGGAGACTTGGTGGACATAAGCGACTTAAAATTTCCAAGACAGGCTATCGACCAGGACAATCCAGTAACATGGTACATTTTTTTGTGATGAATCACCTAATGCTTATGGATCTGTGATCTATGGAGTGCAGGACAGCTAGTCGCACTTCGTGTTCGCTAAGACTAAGGTGGCACCCATGAAGTCAAAAACGCTACCTGACTTAGAATTATTGGCAGCATACCTGGCCATAAAACACTGCCCACCCTAGTAAAACCTTACAAACACATAAAAATAAATAGTATCTACATTGCAGTAGAAGCCCAAGTAGCCTTGTCATGGCTACTGTTAGAACATTAAAACAAAAAATCAGTACACCAAAAACAGACTAAAGGATGGTATACCAAATGATGAAGGAAAAATATTTGGTAGACATACAGTTCAAGTATGTTTCGACGGCGAAAAACCCTGCTTATCTTTTGTTCTGAGGTATTTCTTTGGAAAGATTTCGACAAAAGATACAATAATGGACATCAGGTCCGAAGTGGATAGTAGCTTCGACTGCTTGAGTTAAAAAAATATTAGTCCCATCTGTGGTTCTACACACGGGTAGAACGCATTATGCCTTTCAAAAGATTGTCAAAGTTGTCAAAACTGATAGGGGCTACAACATTTGTATTTAAATTTAAAAAAAAGCTCAAACGTTTGATCCCATTTACATCAGATCCAGAGCACTGCACAAGGATACATCTGTTAAAAATAATGCAACAGTAAACCTTTCAAAAGGAAATCGCTTATTTGAAGTATCCAAGAGACAACCCTCCTGACCTAAACCTATTCTTAGTCGCTGAAGGAATAAGAACGGATGGCAGAATAGCCCAAACTTCAATTTATGAATACGAGCTGATCTATCGAATTCTACGAACTGGTGATCAATAACGATAAATGCAAGCACATTGGTATAGGTGCCACTCTAAGAAAGTAGAGGCTTTCAGGATTTTGGGTCCCCAAGCTAGACAGGCGCTGAAAAGAGTACTATCGAAATGTTTCATATGCAAAAGGTTTAACAACTTAGGATTCAAAAAACCCTAAAATCACAAACTTGCCAAAGCATAGGGTTAACTTTATAAAGCATTTCCAACAAACAGGAATAGACTACACTGTTCATTTGTGATTCAAAAAAGATGAGAAGTGAAAAAAAAATGTACGTAATGATTTTTACTTGACTAAATGTAAGGGCAATTCACATAGTAGTTGTGAAAGACTTGTCTACATCCGAATTCGTCCAAGCCTTGATCAGATTTACCCACACATAAGGTGTACCCTCCTACATCTACAGCGACAACGCCAGATCATTTAATGCTGCACTGGGAGGAGATATCGTGGCGCACCATGTACATCCTTCGGCAGAGAATTTAACAGCTATAAAATCAAGCATCTTAAAATACCTATATATTCTCGAGTAGGGAGCACATGGGAGCGCCTGATCCGAGTAGTGAAGTCCTGTTTGTACAAAAGCATTTGTCGTGCCAAAATAAAATACTTTGAACTCTTGACTTCACTTACTGGCATACAGAGAGCAATAAATGTTTTCTGCGCCCCGACACCAACAGTGGACTTGTTGTAAGGTCTAATATTCAAAACATGATACAAAATGACCCCCCCCAACAAGGTCTGACCTCAACGAAACATCGGAAGTATGCGAAAAAAATATTGGAAAAGTTCCGAGAAATGTGGTACGAAGAATACTTACTCACCCTCAGAGAAAACTGCAATAACGTACACCAGATAAATTTCTCTAATAAGATTATATTAAATGACGTAATCCTTATAAAAAAAAATCCTCGAGGCCTAGACATTACTGGCAAGAGAGGAGATGGTGGTGATACAAATACATTCGATAAAACACCTATATCCCTTAGAATCATTAGAGAAATTATTATTAGAGAGAAGAAATTGTTTAACTTTCGAGACAAATGCTATAAAAAAAAAGCAATGGCGTTGTATAACACAACAAAACCCCCCCAGGTCTTCAAACTTTCATATTCCAACCATTCCTGTCCAGATAAATTTTGTATCTGGTAAATTCTCTGCTTCGAGAAATCAATTTCTAAATCCTGGCAAGCTTAAAAACACCTAATCTAAAAAAAGGAAAAATCCGTCAGTCAATAATTTGAACTTTCAAATATCATTAAATAATATGCCACAAATTCTTCATGTCATTCTCCTCAGTCGGGAATGTATTGGAATTTAACGGTCACAGGTAGAACGGGTCGAAATGAGGGTCTCGGCAGACCCCTATATAAGGTCCGACTCCCAGAATTCAGCCTCTTTTCCATTCGCTTACATGTGCGACTGGCTCTTAGTCTTGACCCATCGACCTGTGTCTTGCACCCTGCGTGACAGACTGCCTTTACCCGAGCCCCTGACGGCCAGAGAGAAGCAGCTGCCGCTATTGACATGTGCGACGCCCAACCCGGATATAAGCCTGCAACCCAGGCAACTGCTACTTAGAAGCCCACTACTACTGCTAGAGACTGACCGTCCTACCAGTTACAAGGACGAATCTTCAAGCAAGCGGAGTCCGCAAACGCACTTTGCAAACACCTTTTTCCTTTCAACTTTTTTTTTCCTTAAAGTAAATTGAACTCAAACGGTTGATGTGTTTCCTTTCTTCAAAAGCTGTCGTTCCAATTTGCCTGTACGCACTTAGCTCTAATTCCGTCCGACTTCGTTTTTTATCCTAAGTAACTTTCGGGGGACAAATCCCTACAATGAGTTTTCGGTTATGTTTTAGGTATTCCGTAGCGGTACCAAATTTGAAACAAAGGCTAGCTGTAAACACGCTGCTAACGCGACACTGACGCAAAACACCCTTACTTTCCCATAAATTACACGTGTCGTGTAAAACTAGTCTTTTTCGATATTTAAACAATATGATAAGCAATTGAACACGTTGGTAACAAAAACAGTAGTAATTTGAAAGACCTATCCAAATTTTAAATATAATCTCTAGAAGTTTACGTTAATTTGGCCGAGAATCACAATCATCCAATGAAAATTAAGCTCACTACAGGTTTGCGAGAGGATTTTGTTAACGTTCTTGTTACTATTAATTAGAGTTTTTTCATGTGTGTTTAAGCGTGTCTTCCTGGTGATATGTTAATAGAAGCGGGCTATTATTCCTTTAAATAAAACAATAGCTTTTACTTGCTTTTTCTCCCCACTCTAAATCTGCTTTTGTTCTTATTTTTGTCTGTTTCAGCTATTTTTTCTCTTATGGTTCATGCTTTTTCCTCTCTGATTTTTTTCTCTAGATTACGCTTTTTTAGTTTTTTATTTGTCTGTTGAGCATAGTTGCTTGGTTTTCTGAATTTTTGGTTTGTCTTCTATTGCCAAATTTGTGTTTAATGTGTTGTAGGTTTTTGTTTGGCTCTTCTTATTCGTTTTATTTCAGCATCGTTTCTTTCTTCTCCCTTCCCGTATCATCCATTTAATCCTTTTCCTTAATTTGTTATTTCACTCATTTTCTTCGTTTTCTTCCAGTTTTTTTTCTCCCTCTGCCAATCAATTCATTTTTTTGTCTCTCTTTTTTCTCTCTTTTTGAAAATATTTATTTATTTTCTACCAATTTTATTTCTTTCTACTAACGTTTTCTATTTTTAATGTTGTTACCCGTTCTTCTTTCTTACAATCTTTCTCAGAGACATTAATCAATCCACGATTACTTTCTTCCTGTTAATTATCACTCTTTAAGGAACGTCATTGTCGGAGTTAGCTCCTCCTCAGTTCCTTAATCCTTCAACAGGGGTCTCTCTCTCCCCTGGCTATAAATACTGGCTGACCCTTCGCCTCGATCTCTTTTTTACCTCAGGCCTTGGGCCTTATACCACCTCGCATATGTGAGCTCTCACAGATACAGCGTTTCCCAAATTCTGGGAACACGCTAAGAACAATACACTTACGTACGAACACTCACCACAACACACACACACACATAATATTCACCACACGCACTCTGTCCATGTAACTGTCCATGTGGTTGTAACTTGTTATTAATACATATATTTGTTTACATATATTTATCGGTCTTCTTTGTTTTCTTTGGACTTAATTAAATCCAATATTCTCATGTAGCTGGACCGGCTAGCAGGAATTCTACCCACATGTGTTCTTCTACAATACGTACTCATCACCCAACGGTCTCTACATCATCTTTGTGAGATTGCACTCACACGTCAACAATTTTTAAAGTCTAAAAAAACGGAACAAATAGGTTTTGCGTTCATTTTGCCTTTTCGTTCTTTATCCTCACCCCAGAAAATTTTTTTATTGCGACTATAACATTAAAAATTAAGTGTTATTTTGTGGTTTGAATTTGTTTTAATACATGATTTACTTGCAGTTTAACACTTCCTTTTTAATATAAGCAATAATGACTCTTGTTTATATTCATAGAAAAATATGTAACGATATGTCTTTAAGTTGGATTACATATTACCCTCATACAACCTCCCTCTTTATTTAATTAGAATCACATCTTATGTGCTCTACATATTTTGGAACTTGTTATAATCATCTGGTATAAATGGACAACTATAAGTGTAAAATTAATTGGGCGTAGTCGTTGTGAAATGTTTCCTACTTTATTTATTTTTTCTAAGTTGTAATTTTGATTCTTGGATAATCTAAACAAAATGCGTAATGTAGCTTAGTTCTACTGATTCGAACCCCCGTAGAAACCAGAATTCCAAGATCAACTGGTTCTCGTTAATCTTTTCTATCATGTCTAAAATGGTAGCTTTCAACGAGCACATTGCATGCTTGTTTGTTAGTTGATCTCCCTCCCGACAACGCCCCAAACATAGTGGTCCAGACGATTCAAATCAACATGTTGTGGAGTGGTGACGACATCGTGAAAATCCTCGACTAATCTCTCCTAATGCCACGAAGACGCAAGGAGTTACCGAGAGTGAAAAAATAATGAGAAAAATTAGTAAGGAGAAAGAACAATAAAAAAAATAGGATTCAAAAAGGCAGACGTTGGCGATTGGTATTGGATTTAAATTTTTGAATATTTTTGGTGGCAGGTCAGCAAGAAACAGGAAGAGAGTGTGAGTGAGTGAGTGAGTGAGTGAGTGAGTGAGTGAGTGAGTGAGTGAGTGTTCCACAGGCGAGAAAAGAAATCTGGCTAGTTTAAGGAGGAAAGCTCATCAGAACAACTGCCATGAAAATATTTATAGTAATGACAGAAAAGCCAATGTCACGACCGTGGTTAAGTGATTTAATTCGAGATGCCAGGTCAGGAACGATTACATTACAGACCCTTCTTTGGATTTTATCAAGATATATAGTAGGAGCACCAGACAAAATATTCTAGCAGTATTCAATACACGGATTTATAAATGTGTAAAATTGTCTGACTCTATACAGTGGGCCAACTTTCCTAGCAGTAGACCTAGCGATTGATTCAATACAATCATTTCCTAGCAGTAGACCTAGCGATTGATTCATTACAATCACTTCCTAGCAGTAGACCTAGCGATTGATTCAATGCAATCACTTCCTAGCAGTAGACCTAGCGATTGATTCAATACAATCACTTCCTAGAAGTAGACCTAGCGATTGATTCAATACAATCACTTCCTAGCAGTAGACCTAGCGATTGATTCAATGCAATCACTTCCTAGCAGTAGACCTAGCGATTGATTCAATACAATCACTTCCTAGCAGTAGACCTAGCGATTGATTCAATACAATCACTTCCTAGCAGTAGACCTAGCGATTGATTCAATACAATCATTTCCTAGCAGTAGACCTAGCGATTAATTCAATGCAATCACTTCCTAGCAGTAGACCTAGCGATTGATTCATTACAATCACTTCCTAGCAGTAGACCTAGCGATTGATTCAATGCAATCACTTCCTAGCAGTAGACCTAGCGATTGATTCAATACAATCACTTCCTAGCAGTAGACCTAGCGATTGATTCAATACAATCACTTCCTAGCAGTAGACCTAGCGATTGATTCAATACAATCACTTCCTAACAGTAGACCTAGCGATTGATTCAATACAATCACTTCCTAGCAGTAGACCTAGCGATTGATTCAATACAATTACTTCCTAGCAGTAGACCTAGCGATTGATTCAATACAATCACTTCCTAACAGTAGACCTAGCGATTGATTCAATGCAATCACTTCCTAGCAGTAGACCTAGCGATTGATTCAATACAATCACTCCACTTCATGCCAGTGAAAAACATGAGCCCAAGAAGGTGCAAAGTGATGCTCTCCTGGAGGTTAGCATCAGCCATGCTAATGGAAGGCAGAAGAGGCTCTCTATGATGATAAAATGATAGAAATCTTGCTTTGGGGACTTTAAAATTTACAAGCTATTCCTTGTCCTAGCTAATCACTAATTGGAGTTCATTTTTGAGAGCAACTGCCTGTATTACTATGTCGGACCTGTTGTAGTTGCTACTAAGACGGGAGTAAAAAAAAAAAACTTGTCTCATCAGCATAAATACCTAATTGGGAACTGATGAGATCGGGAAGATTTATGATGAAGATAAGAAACAACTTAGGTCCAGTGATAAAGCTCTGGGGGGACCCCGCATTAATGTGAAACTATCTAGAAGCGTGTCCGTTCAATATGACCTCTGTTGTATGATTTAAGAAAGATTAGATTAAGGCAAATATTCGTCCAGAAACACCATATCTCTTGAGCTTGTGAAGAAGGCCAACATACTAACTCCTGTTGAAAGCCTTCGGGATATTTAAAGTCAGAGTCGAAGCCTCGTCATTCTTATCTAAAGTCTAATAGACAAATTCAGTCGTAACCGTTAATACGTCAGTGGCAAACCTAGAAAAACGAAAGCCATACTATTTGTTCGAAGAAGGCCGTGTGAAGTGAGATGTTTAACCAATTTGACGTTGGTTATAGCCTCTATTACATTGCCAAAAAAAGGTAAAAGACTAATAGAGCGATAAATGGTGAGGTCAGAAGGTTCACTAGTGTTCTTAAAGACATGTACTACAGAGGAGTATTTTCAACAAGCTGGAAAGCGAGAAGCAATAAGGCATTTATTGTTTAGAGAGAACATAAGCCAGTTCAGGAGCACATTTCCTTAGGAAAATTGCAGGGATGCTTGTGAGGATTTAGTTTAGAAATGATAGTAGAAACCATGAATGGATTTGTGTGTGTATCACTCAGTAGAGATTCAGTTTTAGGGGGGAAAACAAGCAAAGATACTCCTGATGTAGTAACAGTAGCATCTGACAGACGCCTTTTGGAACCCATGCTTAAAAAAAAAATTCCTATGGATTGGGTCCTACTCCTAACGGAAGCACTCCTCTTCAGCTAGTCAGTAAATAATATCTCATAAATGTAGACACGGACTCTGTTGTAAACAAAAGACGTACCATTTCCACAGATATACTTTCGTTACTTTTATCCTATATTATGGAATAAATAATTCATAAAATTGAAAAGTATCACGGATTTACTTTCTTTATGTATCGTTGTTGAAAACATTTTTGGAAGATATACATAAAACTTTACATGTTTTATTAAGTAGAAAAGGTAGGGAATTATTTAAGCTTTTTTTGTGAGTTTCTCCTGGAGTCAAATAAGGATTTTGATGACATGTGCACTTTGCAGAAAGGACCTCACCGAAAATATGTATTATGTTTCGACTACTTCTGTCGTTTTCAAGGAAAAAATAGAAAAGTCAAGAGAGAACCAGTGATTATGTTGTTAACGCTATAAAGTTTGAAATAAACGTGGGTTTAAGAGCTATAGCTTTTAAATAGATTTTAGTGAAATGTAGTTAAAATGACATTACGGTTCCAAGCCATTTTAATACGTGGGCGTCTAGATTGAAACAAATTTTAGTTTTAGTAGGTTACTGTTCTTTGATTTGAAGTTCTTCCAAAATTTTATCTGTTGTATTGTTTTGACAAAATATATATATATATATATATATATATATATATATATATATATATATATATATATATATATAATCTATAGATAGATAACTCCTGAAGACAGTAGAAATTGCATAAGATTCATCATATACTGCTAAAAATGACAAATCTTAACTTTATGGTTACTTACATTTTTCCACAAAAACTACTTTGCAAAAGATTATGCCAATTCACTCGTCCTCTGGGAGACTATGCGTCTATTGACAAAATAAAGTACTAACAACGTACAAAAATGTTTCCAGTTGACATCAAACGAATTATTCGACGACAAGAAAAACTCACTGAAAAGCTTAATGAACATTCCTTGCACATTATATTTAAAACATGTTTAAACGAAGAATTATTGTCTGTTATAACGAGCGTTTGATTGCGAAAGGAAAGGAATAACAAGGATTAATTTTTTAAACAGCGTGCATTCGTTTAATATACATTTACAGTTGATAGAAAATTGTTAGTATGTTGTTTTCGGTTGCTGTTGCCAGGAAAGCGATTATGTGTATTGGTGTTATTGATAGTGCCGGGAGTTTACCGATTTCTCGTGTTGGTTTGGCCGAGGTTACAGGATAGGTATGGAGTGGATTTAGCCGTTGGTTGGGTTTGACGCAAGTGTTGA